CTGAATTTAACAGAGTTAAATAGAAGTAATGCCCAAATATGGTTTGAAAGAGCTCTGTGAAGCTGCTTCCAAAACTGAACATAATAGTTCATCAGATGCATACTTTTGCATGCTGTTAACCATCTTTTTTGTGCCTCTGTGGTTTTTTGGTTTGTTTTGTTTGGGGTTTTTTTTTTTTGTTGTTTTTCTGGTCTCTTCAGACACTTTTGTTTCAGTCTCTTTAGATTAGGACTATTTATTTGATGCATGTTTCATTTGTCTTATTTGATGGGAATATATTTGTCACCGGCAAAGTACAAGTTTTTTTGACCTTACTTGAGGTCATTGTTTAAAAGTAATCACTAACATTAGTGTTTATATCAGAATTCCACCTGATTTCGTAATTAGCTTTTTTGTGGTTAAATTGACTACAGGGAATGCAAAATACAGTGTGAAAGTAGCAACACATATGACTGATTTGAATTATTGTGTCTCAGAGTCTTTATTAAATGTCTAGCTGGAACCACTGAAATCCTGAAGAACTAATGTGTATTTGGTTTTGTTTCTTTGCTCCATGGGGTACCTGAGTTTGGGAAATCTGGGTGCTAAAGTCACTGTAAATACTGCCTTATGGCACCTTTGATTGCAAATGTCTTGTATGAAACTGTCCATCCTGAGTTGAACTGGAATGGAAGAATCTGGTGTTAGCTTTTTCTTCTACATTAAGGTCTAGTAGGTATTGCGATCTCAAGCTAGAGATGTACACACTTGAGAAAAAAAGATGTCAACTGTGTCACGACATGGTTTCAGATCAGAGTCCCATATGGTTTTCAATCATGGAATTGTTTTTTGTAATCCTTGTATTAGGGTTAAATTTATTTTTATTATGTTAAAAGCTTTGTTTTTATTCATACAAAATCTGGAAGTAGAATGTCTAGACTTTGAATTATGTTAAATCCACTGCAATTTATCCAAGGATTATTTATTTGGGGTTATTTGTACAGAAGTGCCATTAAAGTGTTGAGCAGTTTGTTCTTGAACAGCAGGGACATGACAGTCAGCTGTAACTCGAGGGTAAACATAGCATTTATTATGTCTGTCTTTCTTGAATGTTTTCCTGTTTTAATGATAGCAGTTGTTCTTAGTTATTATTGCATTTACGACATTACTTCTGGGCATGTTGACTGGACAAGCTGTCAAATTAAGATGTATTTAATGTGCCTACTGGATTTTGATACTGTACTAAAGTAGAAAGCCTGGTGAAATGTTTCAGTGAAAAGTGTAGATCATACTCTCAGTTGTGGTTTAATGGCAGTGTTGCAAACAATAACATAGAAGGTCAGGCCTTTTTTTCAGATATTTTCCAAATGTGAAGTGTTAGGATTAAGGCTTGGTAGTGTATTTGGAAGTTAAAAGATTTTTTTCCTCACATTATCCATAATTTTTTAGTATAAATCAAATTTAATAAAACACCCCCCCCAAACCACCTTCGCTTTGTGAAATACCATTGAAAACTTACTCTCCTATTGACTTGAAAAGGCATTATGGGAAAAAGTCGGTGCACTGATTTATTTCAGTGTGATACTCCTGGTAAGGATTTGTCATTGCCTCCAAACATAAAGATATTTCTATATTTTTATACGTAGTTATATATAAAAATATATTTATGTAACAATGCAGAGAGGTAATGGCGTAATTGTTAATTGGCATCAACCAATTCACCTAAGGTGGACACCCTCTTTAGTATGATGTTCTCACACGTTGACACCATATCTCATAAGCGTGCTTCTAGCAGTAAGTCCAAGAATTAATTGTAGCTTGTTGTAGGGGAAACAGCTTTCTCTTTTTTGGATGCTTAGTACCTCCTTTTTGTGAGGACAAGAGAGATAGGTACATATACGTGACTTGCAACACCATTTCATTTGCTCGTCTTAGTCATTCTTACTTTTAATCTCCTTGTAACAGAACCATTCCTTTTCTGATCAGAGAAGTTTTACATCTGGAAATCTCCAAGTATTTATTGCGTGTGAGTTGATCTGAAGCTTGGTTTAATATTCCAGTGCCTATAAATGATTTTTGGTGGTCTTTGCTTGATTGCAGACAAATGTGAAAGTGTTGATGTATAATGTCACCTTCCCAGGAGCTTTTATCACATGGCACTTGCTCTCCAGTTTTTCTTAGTGACAGTTCTAAACTTTGTTGAAGCACAAAACCCTCTCATTTGCGGACACTTGCAATAGTTCTGTATGAAACAGGTCAAAGAATTTTAAAATACAAGTAATTTTTTTATTTAAAACAATTTAAATACTGATATATTTCTTACACAGTGGCATAATCTCATCTTTGGACTGGTTACAGGGAGACTTAAGACATTTATTCTAAGAAACTTGGCTGTTGCAAGCAGAGATTTGTTTTAAGTGGCCCGCAGTTAATTTTGTAAAATCCTAATACTCTATGAGGTAGAAGATAAGTTGCACATTTAAAAGATGTGTATGTACAGGGGAAACAGTTGCTTATGTAAATGCAAGGGCATTTGTATATATTTTGGGCATACAAGCTACAAAGACTAGGCGAAAGAAAGTAACATAAAAAATAAGAGCAGTAAAATTACTTGGGGTCATCTTTGAAGTTGGGTTGCTGACAATTATTAATGACACAAGTGCATGAGAAGTTGTTTATATAATTTAGAAAAATAGGATGTCACCAAGCATCAGTGTCAAGACAGAGCTTGCAGTCTGTGTTACACCGTAAACTTGATTTTTTTTTTTTTTTTTGGAACAGCGGAGATTTTTGAAAACTTACATAACAGCTGCTCGAAGCCAGTCTTTCAGGTGTAAGATGTTGATCTGGAGTCATACTGTTGCCCTCTACTGGCATCTGCTGAAACCTCTTAAGGCGTTGCTCATCAAGTACTGTGGTCTCCATGGTTAATTTTTGAAGGACACTGTTAATCCATTTCAGACAAACTCAAAACCATCCTTTGAAAGCAAAAGCCTTTCTCCCTTTAAAGAGACTCGAGCATGGAAGGAGAGGGGGAGGAGGGGTACAACTCCTACCTGTCAACGCTCATCTGCTTGCAAACTGCTGAAAGCTTTAAATTCTACATTCAAAAGCCCTAAAACATAAAAATGTCGGCTGAATTAATTAAATATTTGAGTACTGACAACTGTTGGAGTGTTTGAATTTCGGAGGCATGGACTAAAGACATTGAGGGTCATGGGAGAGAATATCGTATTTCAAACTGCTCAATGAAAACACAGCTATAACACAGTGGTTGTTGTCATCATCCTAAAAAAAAAAAAAGCCAAATGCACACAATTGTGCTTTCTGAGAGAGGGCAGAATGCAAGAGAGAAAAATATTTGTATTTCATAAGTACTTTGCCACACAGTTTTTTGCTGCTGTCACTAAGAGTTATCTAAACAGTAATAAAAGACAGAAAAGGACAGAATAGTCTATCTACTAAGTAGATTTTTTTTTATCCCCTTACTTAAATAGTCATCTAATCTCAGCTGCCCTCAAATCTCTACACAACCTGTGACTATATGGAGATTTTATGTACAACAGTGACTATCAGTTGATCAACTGTACTGTAGTCACAATTGGTCCTTCTGAAGAGCTGTTTCTGTAAGCTGTCTCCATTACATACCTCTTGTGATCCTTTGACATCTTGTTCCCAAGAAAGAAAACATCCAGTATTTTCCTTCTGAGCAATCGTGGAGGAATACCTCATGGGGAGAAAAGATGAGAAGAGGGATGAGGCTTCCTTTCTCCAAGTCGGGATGAATATCCCTGTTATTTAGGGGCCCTGGAACTTTTAAGTGCTTATCTCTGCTACTGCCACTATCTTACACTCTGATCTTTGGCACATCAGTGAAATAGGTCTGATTGTTTTTTGTTGTTGTTTTTTTTTAAACTGTAAAATGTAATTAATCTTACTTACCTATTTTCCAGGATTGAGTATGAGTGTTAGTAAGTGTTTGACGTTTGGGCTATGTTAAATCTCTCTATACGTGCAAAGATTCTTTCATGAGAGGAAAGCTGTGCGTTGACTTAGAGTAGACTTTGCTTAACTTGTATTTTCAAATAAAGGTTTGCTACACCTTCAGCATTATGATTATGTAGAAACAACTCAATTTTGTTAAAAGAAAGAAAGTTATTTTATCTTAACTTAATTAAACTGTGGGGTTTGTACTAGAAACAACCTGATATTTGCTCTTAAAGCTTTGTGTACAGAAAGAGGAGGCAGTTGACTCAGATTCCCGTGCATTGCCTAAAGAGTTAAAAATTGAAATGCCCTTGGGGAATTATAAAGCTTTATTCCTTCTTCCAAATTACGGAGCTAACTCAGAAACTCTTCAGTCTTTGATTCTGAATAGCTCAGTATCCACATTACGCTAATGTGTGTTTGGGAAAATCGATGCTAAATGACACCGGTTTAATGGAGCATTAAACTAAATACCTTTAAGATATGGGATGCTGCAAGGGGCATGCTAAGATCCTTCTGCTTCCATTTCAATCATAAATTGCAACACAAAAATTGCAGAAACTTTTGATTAACTACCTTCTAACGGTTAGTTCAGATACAGCACTAAAAGAGAGTAGATTTTCTATTTCATTGGGATTCTGACACCCAGAGAGCTCTAGAAAAGACCAGATGTGAAATAGAAGAAATATTTGTGAGCAGTTAATGCTTAACCATAAAAGTGATCATGTGTAAGTCACTGCAGAAGGTGGTTTGGGCAAGGGCAGTAGGTTTGGGTTTTTTTCCCTCCCCCCCAACCCCCCAAAGGCGGTCTATCTGATATATTGCTAGAACAAAACCAAGCAGCAGAGAGTAATATTTTGATCTAGGTGGACCTTTATTTGTAATTTACCTAACTCTTAGATCTCTTCTTATTTGAACTGAGTGTGAAGACAAGGCCAGAAAAAAAAGTAATGCTGTTTGACAAAAAAACATGCTGCAAGACTTTCATATACTGAGGCCATATTTATGGATTCTAATGCTTTTCTTGTTTTCAGGTGAGCGTCCTTACCAGTGTCCTTACTGTGACAAAGCTTTCAGCAAGAATGATGGTTTGAAGATGCATATTCGCACCCACACAAGGGTAAGTGTAGCTTAGTTTTTATTGAGGGTTGTCTATGAATCGTGTGTGGCAGACAGTAAATAATTACTGTTTGTATAGAGATTAGGCTATACAGACAACGATATTTTACGCTTATCAAAATAAGAGGTAAAGATTTAAGTCATTAACTGTTAAATTCTAATTATGACTCCCTTCTACTTTTTCTGTGTTTGATTTCTTATATGTTGAAATAATACAAGTAGTAACTTCTTCCTTTAACCTCTGGTTATTTAGAGGTATAAATTAATGTTTGTGATGTTTACTGAGTAAACAATTCTGTAAAATCTTCACTGTTCTTGAAACTTCAGTATCTAGTGCTTTGATTCTTACAGTCTCCTTAAAATCCAGTCACTGTGAGCTTTTGTAGAAACTGTATTTTACTAACTTATGACTAATATTAAGTTCAAAATTACTTTATTTAACTTTTATTTAATTGAAGGCAAAATAAAAGGCAAATTGCAGATGTCTCCAAGATTGTGTTCGAACCTTGAGTCTTAGCAGAAAGGTTCCCTGTTTTAGGGAAGTCTTGTCGTGTATGTATATTTGCTAGAGGATGAAAGCAAGATTTTGGCCCCACTCAGCCAGGAAAGAGATGGAGAGCTGTCTTCAACCAACCAGATGTGAATTCCCTTAGTAAAGGCAGATCTCCAGGTGAAGTTAAGCTGGTCTAGCATTCCATATACTACCTGCCTCTGGTCTCCTCACCCACCATAAGAAAACAAACAAAAAGAAGTAAACCCTAGCTTTTACTTGTAATCCCTTGGGAGCTGTTACTGCTTACAAAAGTGAAGGCAGCCTTGAGGCCAAACTGAGAAAGTTCTTGATCTATTAGGAAATAGGGAGGGCAATAGTTAAGTTAGTAGTATCCATATGCAAATCTGTGCACAGAATAGCTTTCTAAGTAAGTAAAGATAAGATCAAAACTGTTTAATTTTCTACCATTCTCTGCCTAGGTCTTGAGGGCATTAACTGGAGGTCCTAGATAAAGTTTTAGCTCATGTACCCCAAAATTTCATTTAGAAGTTACCAGTAGTTTGTGCAGTGCTTCCTGGCGGTTCACTGGGAGCAGGCTAGCCCCATGTTGTTAGTTGTCTCTCCTTTTTTCCAGCTGTTAAATCACTTTAAGAAGTGCTATAAAATCTTTTCTGTTGTTACTGTCCCATATTACTGTTTTTGCACCAGGAGAAATTTCGTTACCATATATGTTCTACATAGCTGTGAGTGGGAGGAGTGGTAAACAAAACCAGCTCTGAAATAGTGCCAAATGTAATTTTTTCCTGATTTGTCATACAGTTTGAGTAAAACCAGCAAACCTCCCAGCCTCTGTAGGAAAAAAAAAAAGAAAAGAAGAATAAGAATAGGCCTTTAGAGCCTGTAATGATGTATCTCTGTTGACTATAGTGATTTACACCAACTGATGATTTCTTCCAAAATGCATGCTCGTGAGTGAGGCTAGAGAACTTAACAAACATTACTTCATTGCTTAAAAGCTGTAAATTAACTGATAGCTGTTATTTACAGCAGGATTGCATATCCTACAGCCTTAGAAAATGCAGTACTTCAGTAGAGGAAAGCTGTGCATTTTTTTTCTTGATAATTGTGTATTTTTTTGATAGATGTATACATCAGTCCTGACTACCCGGACAGTGCAGGTGATAAAGCACTCAGACATATGATTTTGACAATTAAAAAAAAAAAAACAAACCCGCTTAATTTTGAAGTAGAGATTTTTAATTGCACTGAATTGAAAACTTCTAGTTGTTCTTTAGCTCAGTGAACTTTCTGGGGATGTTTCTATGCTCTGAAACATAATCATGCACCTTAGTAGAGAATACTATTTTATTGTTGTTTGGCTGCTTTCTGCTACCTCTTCTATGTAACTTGTTGCTTGCATATATTCCCATACATCATTGTATTTTTGCCTCCGCTACATGTAAGCTCCAATATGCTTATATAAAATTGGACTGAAAGACAAACTGAGGAATTTATACTAATGTTGGAACAGGAGGAAAAAGAATATAATTTAGACACTGCTTATGAATAACAGAAGAACAATTCAACCAATGTTTGTTATTTAGCTAATAGTAAAGGGAAGAGTTAGGAAAATGGATTTCACAAAGTGGAGATTTTTTTTTTTAATATAGGTAGACATTGTAATTAGATAGGCTTTGTATTGCATGAAGAACATAATAAAATTTGATTTTAAATGTCTTAGGAAATGTTCTGCTGTATCATGTAGTGAAAATACCATTTTTACAGAAGGAACTCTGTTCACACCAAATGTGATATGAGTTTTTCCATATACGTGATATGTCATGATCATCTAGATCTGAACAGGTTGTACTTTCAGTTTTTCTCCTTTGTGTGCGAGCGTGCTAAGCAGACTACTAGAAATCTTTACAGTTACACTAGGGTTAAAATATACAGGCACAACATGATTTTTATTAGACCTTGGTTGGGGTTTTCATTCTTTTTGTTGTCATACTCTTCATATGCTACTCCTGTTCTGAAGCTTTACAGTGAAGCTCATTTGTATATGAATGGCATTATATATTGATTTATCCCCAAATAAATATTTTTTATTTTGAGGTAATAAGAATCAATATTGATAACGTTAACACGAGTGAAATTTTGAAAATTGAAGTCTGTTACTATAACCTTGCTTCTCCATATTTCCTTCTTCCTCACACTTCAACACCTTATTCAATATCTAAATAGAACAGGATAGCTAAAAATTTTAAAGTCTTAGAAGGAAAAAAGTTGACTAGTGGTATTAAAAACAATCGAACGCAAAGCTTATTATGAACTTTCACAGATTTTTAAAGTCAGAAGGAGTGGTTATGCTGAGTCTGTTCTGCAGAACATTATCTGTGCAGTGCTGTAGGAGAATAAGCTGGAGTTTAATTGTTCAGATGAGTAAATATTAGTACAAGTATAGGGGAATAAATATGTATTTTAGGTGGTGTAATTCAGATATAAGTGAAAGAAAACAAGTGGTTAAGGGAGTTTGGGTATTTGGAAGGAATAAGAAGGAAGAGGGAGGGAGAGAAAATACTGATAGGTAAATTGAGAGCACTTATGTTCTTGGCAAGAACAGGAAGATTTATTTAATTTTTGTAGCAGGTTGATACTTGTCGGCAATGTAATGGTTTGACATTTTGGATCTCATTAAGAGACACTGAAAAACTTAAATAATTGATCCTTGTGTGTTTGGTGTTGTTTATGGATGAGTTTTAACTTAGTAGTATGTTGAGAGAAGAGAAAATCTAGAAAAATATTATCCAGGAAACAAAAACCCATCTTTTAGCAGAGAAAACAGCTGTTTAGCATGTAGGTCATGTAATAGTTTTGTACTATCAAGATCCACCTGCCTTGAGGTTTCTCTGAACGCGGGGATGCTAGCAAAGCTGAAATCTGTGCACTGAGATGCAGAACTCGTGACAGTTTCTGTCATGTACTTTAAGACCAGGCAGGTCTGTCATTACTGCCTGAGGTGGTCTCTCTTTTCCTCTTTGCTACCATTTCATTCTCAAGCAGGTAAGTGCTACTTGCTGGAGAAGGAGGTGGGAATTCTCCAGTATTCTTGCTCGTTTAGCAAGATTCTGTCTTTACTCTGTTTTGTAGAGGTGATTAAGATGACTAACTTTATGAGGTTGATAGCCTAGCATATTTGTGTGTAGTACTGATAGTTGAATTTTCAGCTTGAGCGTTTCAGATCTTTAACCAAGAACAGAGTAAGCTGAACTGAAAATTCTGAGCTATTCACGTGTAAGTCTTTTTTGGAGTGAATGCATTCAGTCACATTGTAGCACCTTTCTGGTGCTCAGGGTAGTCATGGTCTAATTACCTTCATTCCGGGAAGTCAGAGGCTATGTGTGTGTTAAGTAGTACAATGCGGTAGTAGGTATGTAAAGTGAAACAATTGGTGCCAAGGACTTGATGTTTATCTTGTATGTGTTTCAAGGATTTTACTGCAGATTATGTGTAGTCTGGTCCTATGGACTGAATGCGCACCCTGGAATGCCATGAGCTTTCTGGTTTAATTTTTTCCCAAAGGAATCCAGGTCACACAGTCCAAAACATTTTGGAAGTGTGCACCAAAGCACCGTAACAGGGGACATTTGGGAAGCATGCTTCAAAAGCACATACCTGATCTGAATATAAACACTAAAGGAGGTGTATTCTAACTGTACTATGTAAGAACTTTTCCAGCGAAGAAAGATTATACCTGTGCAGAAATAGCTTGAAACTCCTCAGCATGGTACTACTTCACTATAACTTGTTCTGTGATCATAGGTCATTTAAACAAAGACAAAACTAAAGATTAGGAAATAAAAAATGTAGTGTGTTTGCCAATGTTTATTTCTGTCTGTTCTAAGAACAAGAAAAGCCAGGAAGTCACACTTGAAATGGCTCTCTTCATGCATCCAATGTATTGACTTTTCAAGACAAAAGA